TACGCTTTTTATATGCTATGCATTTTTCTGTGTACTGTGTAAAAGAATGAGTTTAATTATATCAGTCCTATGAGGTAAGTACTATTATAATTTCCAGTTTTATAGTCAAGAGCAGTAACCTGCCTAAGATCACAAAGTTAGTAAATGTCAGAGCCAGGATTTGAACCGCAAAAGTTTGTCTCCAGGGCCTCTCGTTCTAAATTCTAGAATCCAGCCATATTGGCCCAAGAAGCCTGTGGGCCTCCTCAACCAGCTCACACCTGTCTTTCTAGCCCCTCCCTTTGCCTCTGGCACTGCACCGACACCACTTCCTCTTTTGCTTCTCTCCCAGCCCTTCCTGATTTTGTTAATCTCCACCCATTCAGGATTCCCTTCTGGCATCTCCTCTCTGCCTGCCTCATCTGGGCTAGGTGCTTTCCCCAGACACGCTGTCAAGACAGCTAATATTGCACTTTCCCGCAAGGCATTGTAACTGTCTGTCTCTTGCCTGCTTCCCACAGTGGACTGAGAGTTCCTTGAGGGCAGAGACCAAAGTTTTAAATCTCTATGTCACAACATAGCCAAGTATCTGGTACACAGCAAGTGCTCAGTATCTGGTTTTGAGTAAATAAACGAGGGAAAGCCTAAACTAGGACTTACAGTAGAAAAAGGAGCAGTGTTTGCCCAAACAGTAGTTTCACCCTGGAAATGTTAGTACCCTGAGCAAATAGTGAGTAGCCCATGTCCATTAGATCAGAGCAGTACTGAATGGAATACAATCAGAGGTGTGAACCTCACTCACTCCCTCAGGCCTGGAACTGGGCACATGTGCTCTAACTGAATGAAGGAGACTGCTCTGATCCTCACAAATCAAAGACAGTGACAACACATATACATGCACAAATGTTATCATGGGTCACAGTGACTTCTTGAGTTTTTCAAAAGTGTCAAAATTGAAGAGCCCCTTCCCTTCTCTTCTAAATAATTCAGTCCTTAAAGCCATTATGTGGGGCCGGTATAGTCACTCATGCGTTGGGTAGAGAAGATATGGTGGCCCAGAGAGGGTAAGGAGGTTAGCCACAGAGAAGGGCTGCCCAGCACAGGCCAGGGCCTGGATGGGCAGAGCCAGGGGGTTCCTTTGGAAGGGCAGCCTGGAGTGTCAGAATCCAAGCAGGATGATGAAGGCATCTGCATGGAGAAGGGAGCAGTGGCTGCGATCACAGTTGGTTCCATTCAGGAGATTGATCAAATAAGCAACTATGTTAAGGATAATGGGGGCCAGTTTCCCTTAGTGTTAGAGAAGGGGCTTACATATACGTAAAGGGGGAAAACTAGAGTGAACACGATGTTGCTGATTGGAATTGGAAGTACCAGTATGAATTTATGATTTTCAATACATATAGATCAATATAAATATATACACACACACACACACACACACACACACACATACAGGTCCTAGCTCTGTCCACTGAGAGAGTCTGGGAACAGGGATACTCCAATTAGCAATGAGCACACTAAATAATTCTCCACGAAAGGGAACTAGAAAGGGAACTCTTGGGTGAAACAGCTGAAATGAAGGCTGCAACATCTTGTTGTACCAGGAAGTCCTCAAAGGATGATGGGAACGTGTCAAAAGGGCACATTGAAAGTCTGATTAGGAATGAGATATTTATGTAATTTCAAAGTACTTCTCTACAGAACACTTATTAAAAAATGAAGAACAGTAACTTTGCAGTGGAGAATTCTGACAGGCACCACCTTAATCAAGTGATCTCAGTGAAATTTAAAATCATTTGCCACTTGGTAGGTTGCAATGAGAAGAACACAGCATCATTTCTGTGCTACTCTTGCCATAATTATATAACTTGAATTTAAACATGAGGAAACTCAGACTAACCTAAATTGAGAAACATTGCACAGAATGACTGGCCTGTATTTTTAAAAGTGTTAAGGTTATGAAAGTGAAGGAAATACCAAGGAATGGTTCCATATTGGAGCAGACTAAGGAGATGTGACAACTAAACATACAACTAAATGCCTAACTATGAAATACTCTTGCTACAGAGGATATTATTGGGACAATTGGCAAAAAAACTTGAATTGGTCTGAGGATTCAATGACAATTGAAAACACACTGGGTCTGAGGACTAGATAGTACTAATGTATCAATGTTAATTTCTTGATTTTGTGGTAATGTAAGAGAATGTCCTTGTTTATAGGAAATGCACACTAAAGTATTTGGAGATGATGAAGCATCGTTTTGGCAGCTTACTATCAAAAAGATCAGGAACAATATAATATAAAATATACTGTACATGCAATTTTTCAATAAGTTTGAGATTTTTCAAAACAATATACATACATACATATGTATACACATACTATACATATACACACACATATACACATTTATTCTAAATCTCCATCTGTATCTACATGTAATAAATGTGTTATGTTGGAGTCATAATGCTTTCCAGACTTTCCAGGATACAGGTATCCAGAGGCTGCTTTGGGGGGACAAAGCTTAGAGTGACTGCCCCAGAGGCAGAATCAGGGCGTATCGGCTCTATATTGGTTCTCTGCTGAGGTGCAGGAGATGGGTATTCTCACCCCACTCATTTCGTAAAGAATGGACAGATTCCTGAATAACTAGAAAGAGATAACACACAGCATCTGTAGGGCTGATCACGCCATCCATTTGACTTATCTGATGATGGGCTCATCTGCCAGAACCAAGAAGTAAAATCACTGAGGGCTTCTTTGTCCTCTCAGGAAGTCTATGGGATAACTAAAGGCTAGTTTGTCAGTATTGATCTGGAATGTGGATTGTGCAGGGGATCCCATGCTCCTCTGAGATTTGGCCCACAGTACTACCAATAATAACCACTGCCTATTGGGCACCTTCTATGGGCCAGAAACTGGGATTCCTTTTATAAGCTTCACAATGGTTCTCCTTGCTAAGTGTTGTCCCCAATTTATAGATGAAGAAATGAGGCTCAGAGAGGTTTATCAACCTGGCCATTGAGATGGGTAAATTGTGTCTCCCCAAATTTATGTTTAAGCCCAATATCTCAGTATGTGACTGCATTTAGAGATAGAGCCTTTAAAGAAGTGATTAAATGAAAACAAGGTCATTAGGGTGAGTCCTAATCCAACCTGACTCGTGTCCTTATAAGAAGAAATTTGGACACACAGAGAGACAGCAGGGATATGCACACACAGAGGGACAACCATGTGGGGACACAGCAAGAAGGCACCATCTGCAAGCCAAGGAGGGCGACCTAGAAGAAACCAAACCTGCCGATTCCTTCACCTGGGACTTCTAGCCTCAAGAACTGGGGGAAAATTAATTTCTGCTGCTTCCGTGACCCAGAATGTGGTATTTTGCTGGGCAGCCCTAGCAGACTAAGACTGTTATGTTATGCAACTGGTAAAGGATGAAGTTGGGATTCAAAATCAAATCTGTGCATCTCTTTCCACTGTCCAATGCCACCTCCCGCCACACAGGCTTCTGCTGTGAACCAACCATCTTCCCACCTCTCCCCCAGACCCTCACCCCAAATCTCAGACTTAGCAGATCCCTCTTTCATGATCCCAGAGTGCTTATCACACGGCATGTAGTCATTTGCACACAACTAACTCACATCATCCTGATCAAATCAAGGGTAGGGCTCCTCTTATTCGTATTCCCAGCATGCCCCAGGCACACGGTCATTACAATAGTTAATATTTATCAAGCACTTACACGCGGCAAAGTCTTCATGTGCATTATCTCATTTAAACCTTAAGACAACTCCACAAGACAGGTATCACCATGATTCCCATTTACCTATCAGGAAACTGAGGCCACAGGGATTAACTGAATTACCCAAGGACTCAAGGCTAGTAGGTGGTGGAACCAGGATTCAAGTTGAGATGATCCAATTCCCAGTCTGTGCCCTTCGCCCCCTGCTCTGAGCACATTCCTGCTTGGGGAGCTGTGTGGATCTGAACAGCTCTCCCTCAGTCCAAGCCCCCACTTTATGCCAAGCCCAAGTGTGACGCTCACCTGCTGTGGAATCTTCCCACAAACAGCCTCTGCCCCCGCCCCCACCCTGCCCGCTTTCAGCACTCCTTGGTCATATAGTTTGCACCACCCCCTGTCATGTGACCCAGTGTTGGGCACAGGGGACATTGTTCATCATTTGTTAAACTGGATTCAATGCCCAGGGATGGAAAATAACAAGGTGGCATATTGTACCTGGATACTGTGACTATCTCTTTCTGGGTTTTCCAGGACAGCTCCAGCTTCTAAAGTTCCATCCTCTCATCAGATCATTTGCCAGAATATGTGGCAGAGAATGTAGCATTTGGTTTAGAAAGCAATCACAATTCCACTGAAAAGAGGCAGGAATGGAGATAAGATACGCGGCCTGTCACTCACCTACCTAGTGCAATTAGGCAAGTCCCAATTGCTCTGGACCTAAGTCTCTCCGTGAGTAAAACTGCAATGACAACGCCTATTGCTACTACAAGAATGAAACAAAATATGTGACTGTATTGTGAATATCAATGAAGAATAATGTTATAGAAATCCAGAAATCCAAATGTAAGCCATTAGTGGGATCGTTAACATTTTTACTGACCTGTTTGGCCAATAAAAAATTAAATAAAGCAGTTTTTATTTTTTAAAGTAAAAGAATAAAGTTTTCATGAAGACCAGCGCAGGAAAAAAAAATTGGACATAAAGACAGCAAATGTCCTGAGGCCTTTCTAGAGTGTTTTGCAAAAGACAGAACTAGATACTTGTATTTCTATCTTCTAGGTTCTCCTCAACAACTTGGTGTGTGTGTGCGTGTGCGTGTGTGGTGTGTGTGTGTGTGTGTGTGTGTGTGTGTGTGTGTGTGTGTGTGTTTGTATACGCGCATACTCGTGCATGTGTGGTAGGGGTGGGGTGGGAGGCTGGGCTGGGGTAGTCAACAGGCAAAGTTTTCTCAAATTGCATGAGATGCTACCGGGGGAGGAACCAGGCCTCTTACCTTTGCTGCACTGTGGGTCAGTTCCCAGTGGTGTGATGCCTCCGGGGACAGTCCACATGGGAGCTGAGCTTTTCTGACTCAGCATTAGCCCAGGAAAATTCTCTTTCTCTTTCCTGTGTCTCGTCTTCCGCACATGCACGAAAACCATTCCACCTTGTACACTCAGGGGTTAATCAGCTCACCCCCTGTCCCTTCTGCAAGACTCCTCTGGGATCCTAGGACAATTATCACACTGCATGTGCAGCTAACTCACAGTGTCACAGATAGGGCTGCTCCACAAACCTGAGAGCAGTGTCTAGGGAGTTTCCAGGAAGAGAAGTCCGCCCCCCAAGAGCAGGCCCTCCTTAGCATCTATTCTGATCTGGGTGGGGCTGAGGCCCCCTGGAACTTCCTTCTGTTCTTGCCAAAAGCCAGGATCCTTTTGTTCAACTTTATGGCTGCCACACCCCTGCATGTTGTTTTCCTGCAGGCAATGGGAAAGTGAGCTCAGAGCCAGGGAGGGAAATCAACAAAGAAACACAGGGTCCTTGCACCTTCAGGTCCTCATGAGGTCTGGCACTTTGTCAAGCTGGGACCTGGATGGGCCTCAGAATCCTGGGCATCGTTTTTTTTTAAATATGCAAAGAAATGTGCTCTGAAATCTGTATCAGACCAATCAAACAATTCTGACTTGTTCCAATGCCTTGCCAAAACTTTCCAAGATTTTCCATAGGCAGGGTCTCTCATAATTGAACATTGGCTCATGTTTGTAGGCAAAGAAACGGAGCAAGTTTATGGTGGACACTAGTTAAGATTTTTAACTCTAAAGATACAGGATTATTGTTTAAATAGGATTTCTTCTACTTTCTCTTCAACATCATCAGCAGCATCTTTGCCAACTTCATTCACTATTTACTGTCTGCCAGGTCCTGTGCTAATTGCCTAACCTTGCATTACTTAATTCTCAACATAATCCTGTAATTCTCATTTCCATTTTATAGATGCAGAAATTGAGGGTTAGAGAGATTAAGTCACTCCTGCAAAATGATTCAGCTGAATTTTAAAAATGTAAAAATTGCCCTTCTGGAAGTGTGCTTTTCTGAGTCTTGCTTTTCCCACTAGTCAGTTTAAGTTCTTCTGCGGACTGACAGCTCTGGTAATGGCCAAAGGGCTTACTTAAATATAAACTCTCAGCTCTGGGAATAGAATTCTGGACAGAAACATGGATCATCGGATAGTTAAGAGGTCTCTCCTAGGAGTTGTAAATCAGTGCTGTCTTTATGTAGCTTGTACGCAGGGCACTCCTAGTCCAGGCACCATATCTTCTCTGTAACCCAATGTGGTGCTGGCTGCTGAAGCCTGGCTCTCCACTGTGGTTCTGATTTACCAACAAGGAAGTGCTCTGTGAATATCTTGGCCTCTGGGTGTGCTTTGGTCATAGCCTGATGGTAAGTTTGTCCTTTTGACTTTAGATGCCTAATAGTTACAAGCTTCTTTTAATCAATAATCCATGGAATAAATAACAATCAGTTCCCAGCCTGGACATTTCTGCTTGGTGAGGAGAAATCAGTACATGTATTTTCAGTCCTCAGGTCATCCGTGAAATTTTTTGGTTTTATTGTCCTCATCTTTACTTCAACTCTTGGCCATTAGCTCCCCTGTGCCATGGCAGTTACCCAGGGCAGCTGGCCACTGGTCAAAGAAAAGTAAAACCGTTAATTAGGAGGCAAGGAGATGACTCCCAGCAGGGTCCAAATTGTCTATTTTTGTAAACATAAAAGTTGCAACATCAGGGCAGTCACTCACCCTTGTTACCCTTGGACTTGCTTTGGTGGAGCTTTAGGGTATTTTGCTCTGGGGCCCCATAAGCCTTTAAACTTTAGGTTGGTCAGCTTTTCATTCTTAACAGAGACTCAAGAGTTATTGGAGTTATAGCAATAAAGAAGATTGGAAAGGGGCTGGGTGTTTAGTTTAGATATCATTTTATTGTTTCCCCCAATGGTTTACAACTAAACACAGTGTCCAGATATGTTTATAGACTCTAATCTTGGAGTTCTTTGATGAGGAAAGGCAATTTATAAGAGTCAAATGGAGCTTTTCAATCTTATGTGAAATGAAAAACCAAAACGTTGGGAAGGAGCTGATCTCATGGAGACTTTCATGTTCCTCATCTGCTTCACAGCTTTTCACCACCAGGGAATAAAAAGAACAGATTTTGGAACTGATGGAAGCTTTGGGCTTTTTCATTCAGAAAGGTAAGATACATGGACTCTATTTCTCCTTCCTCTCCTCTGAGCATCTGGATCAGTACTGATTAAATTGATTCCAAGAACTGAGTCCATCTTGGGATTGACAATAAATACAACTCCAAAAATATTTCTTTTGCATGGTCATGTAACCAAGGCAGCTGACTGTTGAAAACTAGAAACAGAGAGAGGTCATGGATGAAAAACAGGACGTATTAATTTAGCTTTACAAATGTGACCTTCCCAAAGCCAGAATTACTCATTCCCTGGCAGCTCATGGTGTGGAGACATGGGTCTGCTCAAACTCCATGGCGTTCGAGTGTCCTTTCCATTTGGTGAGGGACGTTCCGGGTGAGTGACAGGCTCCAACTCAGCAGAAATGTCTATATGCAATCAAAATCTTAATCATTATGGGAAAGCAGGCATAGCTTTATCATATAAGGAAAAATGGCCCATTTTTTAGAGTGTCCCAGGAAAGTAACCATGCCCTGTTACATGCAGAGAAAATGTCCTCATTGTTGGTGTATTTTGAGGAAGGGGCATTAAATCTGAGAAACGTGAAATTGTAGAGGAACCATTTCGGTGTTTTGTGATAAAGAAATCAGAACGTGAGCTAGCTTTCTCTCAGGCCCATTTTCACTCTTATAAGGTGCTCTGGATAAACCTGGGTTGTCATATTAGGAGGTAGGTAGAAAATGGCTTCTTTGAACCACTGTAAACTGATTGCTTTCCTTTTCTTCCTCTAAGTATGTAAGTGATTGTTTGTCCACTTGTACATACAAATTGGAGGAGCAGTTAGGAACCCAAAGCCCCACCCAAGGATTTAATACCATCTCTGTGCCAACGGCTCCCATATTTGTACCTCTGGCTCAGACCACTCTTCTGGATTTCCGATGGTGTTCTGTGTCTTACAACTATCCCAGACTTCACACAGCCAAAGCCAGCTCTTCATCTCTTCTCACCACTTCTCTTTTCATCTCAGCAAATGGCCCTTTCATCCACTCAAATGCCCCAGCCTGGGAATCACCCTTTCTCAGCTTCTCCCTTCAGTCCCACATCTAATCCCTGAGTACCTTTTGTCAATTCCACCTCCAAAAGTTATATCAACTGCAAACACTGCCTTCCATTTCCACTACCACAATTGCAGAAACCCATCAGCTCTCACCTGGATTATTGCAATAGTTTCTTAGCTGGTCTTCTGGCATTCCTTCTTACCTCCAGTCCCTCTATGAAATATGTACTCTACATTCCAGACAGATTAGACTTTTAAAGAAATACTTCTGATTATGCCATTAGTCTATCTCAAAGCCTCAAGGCCTTCCATCCACAAAGAAGGAAATAAAAAATTCCTGACCTGGGCCAGCTAAGTGGCTCAGTTGGTTAAGAGCTTGCTCAAGAGCGTGAGCTCTGAGCAACAGGGTTGCCGGTTTGATTCCCACATGGGCCAGTGAGCTGCACTCGAACTGAGCTGTTGCTGAGCATGGCTCAGCTGGTGAGAGCATGTGCTCCTAACAACAAG